GCCACTGGTTCTGGGACGCGAACCACGGTCGACTACGTGGGAGTCCAGCAACATAGCCATTACGCTAACTGCTGGTTCCCAAGAAGCTGCTTTTATTTTTTAAAGAAATCAGCTGTTTGTTAGTTGAACGGATTTATGTCCATTCTACTGATGGCCTTTTGACTTAGCATATGGTAACTCTGCTGTCTATTTATTTATTTTAAGAGGTGTTTACCTTAGGGTGCATGCACTCACCAGAGAGAGAGAGAGAGAGAGAGATGGAGACAGTGAGAGGAAAAGTGAGAAATTACCCCCAGGGGGATGACCACGCCACAATCCCTTATCACGTATTTTCTTACTGGGATCTTGGGCACACTTGTACACAGACCCAGTGTGTTTCAAGCTACCAGATCCAGGACTTGAACCACGGTCAGCCATATGCGAGTCCAGTGATGCAACTACCATGCCATTTGTTGATCTCACTGGTTATTTTTTTTTAGTGGAATTTAATGGGATACTGGAGCTGCCTCTCATTGGTTAGTAAGAGTCTATTGATGTGAGACCAGCAGTTAGCATAATGGTTATATCACTGGACTCCCATGTAGTCGACCATGGTTCAAGTCCTGGACCAGTGGCTTAAAACTCATGCAAGGCTCCTGTGCATGCATGCCTACGATCCAGAGAGGAGACTGGAGGAGAAGGGATTGCGGCGTGGCCATTCCCCCCTCCCGGGGGGGGGGGGGATTTCTCACTGTCTTTCTCTCTGTCTCTCTCTTGTCTCTCCAGTGACTGCACATGCCCCATAGCAAAAATTTCTCTCTTTAAAAAAAAAGAGGGACTATTGGTGCATCATTTTCCAACTTCCTGTTGAGACATAAAACTGAAATTGGCTATGAGGAGAGTATTTACACCAAGGTAATTGGCAAGTGCACAAATCAGAACTTTTCGTTTTACTGGAGAGCTGATTGTTAAACATGTACCAGTAAACCACTGACTGCATTTATCAATATTTTCCTTTTATGCCTCTGACTTTCCCCACTCCAATATTAGGTTTTAACTCTCTCCTGATTTCTTCCACTTATTCAATCTACACAGAACTACAGTTTCTTCTAAGCATGCAAGGTCACTTCATACCTCATCTGTAGCTGCTCGTTCTTCCCACTGTCCTTCCAGGCCAGCATCGTCCCCTACATGGCTCCTTCCCATTCCCCATGTTCTTGTTAATCCTCTTCTCCAAGAAGCCCTCCCTGTCCTGATAGATTTGTTTTTCAAAAAGAGTCTTTCTTTATTCCTTCCATATGTGAGAGAAAGAGAATGACACCCTCAACAGGGTCTCATCACATTGTGACCCATGCCAGAGACGTAGGCACACACTGGGCATGCTCAGAGAGTCCCAGGATGCAAACCCGGGACCTTTCCCATGCGGGTCCAGAAGCATTGTCACTGTACCAAGACCCGGCCCCCTGACAGCCTCGTTAAGATGCTTGTCCTCAGGGCAACTGCATCCCAACTTCACCCTGTCCCTAAACCTGTCATACTGCTTTGCGAGTCCTGCATGTGGGCATCTTACCTGCAGCACCGTGGATGCTCAGGCACAGTTAAACTAGGCAGAGCTTAATGAACCGAGAGACCAAATAATAAGGCTCCCGGAGGTAAATGTGGGACCTGAGGTGGCACAGACGGCCAAGACGGGGAGGGTGGGGACCGAGGCAGGGCCTCTCGGGAAAACTGTGCTTCTTGCTCCTGCACTGTGCCCTTGGAGCAGAACACATGCACTGCGAGACCATCAGGCAGCGGAAGAGAGGAGCTTGGCCTCCACGATGAAAGCAAAGGAAGGCAGAGCACCCCAGTGCGACCAAGCTGAGCTTTCCCTTTGCCTCACCAGGATCTGAAGCCCTGCACAACGGTTCAACGTTTTGGGTGCAAGACGGCCAGTCCCTGTCCCTGGTCTGTTTTGCTGTCAGCAACCCCCCTGCCAAGCTGACCTGGGCCCGGGGGAACCTGATCCTGACGCCCTCACAGCCTTCGAACCCTGGAGTCCTGGAGCTGCCCCAGGTGGAACTAGGGGATCATGGGAAATACACCTGCCAAGCTCAGCACCCACTGGGAACTCAGAAGGCCTCCGTGAGCCTCCTGGCGAAGAGTGAGTTGGAAGACCCTGGAGGCTGGACACCTGGGTTCTAGCCAGGGGAGGGCACCTCTGACTCTCCTCTCCCTCCGCAGAACCCCCACAGCTGCTGGGCCCCTCGTGCTCCTGGGAGGCCCAGGGGCTGCGCTGCAGCTGCTCCTCCAGAGCCTGCCCGGCCCCCTCCCTGCACTGGCGGCT